TATGATTTTATTTTGGAAGCTTTCATAAGAAATTATTTATGTTAAAACGTGTCATGTTTGATTAAAGAAAAAATAATATTTTATCTAACAGAAGAGCTTGGGGTGAATAAATGTGCTCGGCGCCAGAGCTCTCGGAGCTCGATTTTGTCATGGTCACTTTCTATGTGCTTCTTTCCTGGGAATCACTGATGGGACAGAACACCTCGGTCGCTTGTACAGGGCTTTGTTCCTAACTATGGAAGGCAAAGGGAGACGTGCACACCTCTAGCTGGTCAAGCCGGGGCTCATCCCAGCCTGTTTCCCCCTGAGCTACAGCCTTGTTCACCTCCCTAGGCGATCCTACTGGCCTCCCTTCTTCCCAGAATTAATTCTCTAGAAAGGTTTTGACATTTCTCTTTACTTCTCCTCCTCCTTAGTGCTTTTCCTTGTTTTCTTCGCTGCTAAAGTGAGGTAGTAGGGCTACATCCTTTAAACTTTAAAGAAAATATATTACTGGTCTCACTGGGTCCTGTTGAAGGTTGAGTTGCATGAACGGCGTAAAAGCATTTACTTACACAGAGGCCGGACGGCTTTAGTATACACACATGACAACATCCAGTAACTTCTGTCCTTGGGGCTTCTCTCAGGGCTGTTTCTGGAGCTGGCCTTTTGCACCATAATGAAATTCCCTGAAATCTGGACAGCTAAGGCCAAGTGACCAGCATGCTCTTTCTGCAAAGGTAATTCTAATAAATGGAGAAAAAGCAGTCCAGGAAGCTGCTTTTGTCTGCGTATTGCCTTTTGAAATCTCTTCAGCTGGCCAACTTTAGGTATTTCTTATAGAACATTTCACTCATCTATTTATTTCTTACACATATATTTTGGGAGCATTTTCTTGTCTCTGTTAAAGCTAGGGAGAAAGAAGGGTGTGATGGGCTTGCCGGACCAGAGGGGACAGGCTTGAGTCACCAAAACATTAAAACCATTGTCTCAGCCTCTGCCTTCGGCTCAGGTCATGATCTCAGGGTCCTGGGATGGAGCCCTGCATCAGGGTCTCTGCTCAGCAGGGAGCCTGCTTCCTTTTCTCTCTCTCTGTGGGTCTCTCTGCCTACTTGTGATCTCTGTCTGTCAAATAAATAAATAAAATCTTAAAAACAACAACAACAACAACAACAACAACAACAACAAACCATTGACTCTTCTGGCTCTTCCACGGATGTCTACCCGTGATCTGATTTAACCCCCCGACCCTGTGAGTCCTCTAGATTTGGTGCTAACGTCCATCCTACATTTTCCTAATCACGGTTGGCGATGGTGTGTTTGCTGCCTCTGTTTGCCCAAAGCTGCCTCCTCTGTGAAACCGTGACTTCCATGAGGCTGGGGATGGTGTCTGATTTTCTCTCCATCGTGTCCCAGCACCCAGCCTCTACTGGCCCATGTGGACTCTTGGGAAATACTTGTATGTTGAAAGAATGGATTCATCAGTTCACCTGTACTCTTGGGACTGTGCTCAGTGGGGAAACACAGGGGTTAAATGACTTGCTGTGGGTCAAATTTTTTGTTTCTTGTTTGAGAAGACACAAGTTCCCAGTGGATGCTGTAACAAATTATCACAGACCTATTAGTAACTTAAAACAGCACACCTTTATTTCTTATAGTGAGGCTTTTAAGGCTTTTGAGGCCAAAACAAAGGGGCCAGCGGGCCTGCATTCCTTCCTGAGGCTCCAGGGGGGGAATCTGTTTCCTTCCCTTGTCTGGCTTCTAGAAGCTGCTGTCTTTCCTTGGCTCATGGTCCCTCACTCCATCTTCAGAGCACATCAGTCCAGTCTCTGCTTCTGCTGTCACATCTCCCTTTCTGATTCTGGCCATCCTGACTCCCTCTTGCAAGGGGTCCTTGTGATGACATCGGGCCCACCTGGACGATCCAGCCTCCTCTTCCCATCTCAAGATCCTTAAACTGGTTGTGTCTGCAAATCCCTTTTGCCATGTTAAGCAACATTTTCATAGTTTGGGGTGCTAAGATGTGGGCATCTCTGGGAGGACTATTATTCTGTATGCCACACACAGAATCCTTGGAAAGAAGTCAGTTGACTTAACTGCTAGACAGAACGGGCTTCTGGTGATCATTCTCTTTGCATAAGATGACACAATGCCCCAGACCTTACCTATGAAGTTAACATAATGGGCTTGGGAGGGCAGAGGGGAGTTTGCTCATTGAAGTTAAAAGAAATGCCAATGAAGGCATTTTAGGGAATTAATTCCTGGGTCAAAAGGAGGCCCAGAATATTCCATGGCTAGGCCAGAGGTGAACAAGCCTGCTGCTTAGGGGGAAATGGGCTTCACTCTCTGTTGGAGTGGAGCAGACCTTACTTGGCCTTCCACGTTTAAGTATGAAGTCTTATAAAAGTTGCAAATTATTTTTATCCTGCCATTGTCCTCCTGGGAGTTATTAGCGTTTCTAAATTCTTAGAAAACCTAGAAGGATGTAGTGCTTGCCCTAAGGTAGACAGAGGGAGGGGGTAAGACATGAGGGACACCTGTTTTGGGAGGGGAGAACACACAGGACTGGACAACCTGGGGGGCTGGAGAGGAGGGGTTTGGACCGAAGGCAGGCAACCTGGACCAGCTGTTCCAGGTCCTTCTCTAAGGATAGAGAGGGCCCAGCTCTGATTCACCAGCAATACATGAGGGTTCCGATTGCTCCACATCTTGGCCAACTCTTGTTACTTTCCTTTCTTATAGACATCTAAGTTCTGTGAGGTGGTACCTTTTCATGGTTTTGATCTGCATTTCCCCAGTGACTTGTGACGTCACCCATCTTCTTATGAGTTATTGGCCATTTGTTTAGCTTCTTTGGAGAAATATCTGTTCGTGCTACTTGCCTCCTTAAAACACTTGGGTTGTCTTTTTGTGGTTGAGTTGTAGGAGTTCTCTATGTATTTTTTATATTAAACCCATATCAAATATTTAATTTGCAAAACTTTGCTCCCATTTTGTAGACTGTCTTTCTACTTCCTTGACAATGTCCTTTGCTGCACAACATTTTAAAAATGTGATACAGTCCAGCTTATCTGTTTTTCTTTTGTTGTTCAAGTTTAAGTGTCATTTCTAAGGATTGATGGCCAAATACGATGGAGATGTACTCTTGTGTTTTCTCCTGCTCTTTTTCACTTTTAACCAGTAAGTTCTCATGTGTATTTGAGAAGCCATTCGCGTCATCAGGCCAGCATCAGAAACCTGGGAAGCTTAGCTAAGTCTCTCCTGGTGTCTGTCCTAGATGGGCCCACAGAGTAGTGGGGGAAAGAAAACTTTGCTAGTGACACAATCACAGTAATCACTCCCAGTCATTCCCAAATGCCAGTGTGAGGATCTTTGCCGGTCTGCCGAAGTTTGTGGGAAAAGAAATGAGAGCATTTTTAATATAGCTAAATTTTTTCCATTTAAGGTACTGTCCCTTATTATGCAAGTGGTTTCTTTCTTTCTTTCTTTCTTTCTTTCTTTCTTTCTTTCTTTCTTTCTTTCTTTCTTTCTTTCAGGTTTTATTTATTTATTTGACAGACAGATCACAAGTTGGCAGAGAGGCAGTTAGAGAGAAGGTGGGGGAAGCAGGCTCCCTGCCAAGCAGAGAGCCTGATGCGGGGCTCAACCCCAGGACCCCGGGATCACTAACCGAGCTAAAGGCAGAGGCTTTTAACCCACCGAGCCACTCAGGCGCCCCACAAGTGGTTCCTTTCTATGAAGCTAGAAAGTTCTTATGACCTGAGGCGGACAGGAGATGGCGATGATTTCTCTAGATGCTTCTACCTGGCAGATTAAGGTTGATCAACTCAGTGTCAGACTTCCAAATTTAGAGGAGGAAAATAGAAGACTAAACTGAGAAATTCGAGAGGTTAGAAGTCACCGCAGATGCTAGCGTGGGTTTATGTGGGCCTGCAAATCATGTTGGGGGATCCCTGCCCAGGGTTTTAAGGGAAGCCTTCACAGAGGAGCCAGATTCACTTTCTCCCTCAAATATCTGACCTATTTCTTCTTCAATCGTCGTCTTTGTGCAAAACTTTGAGACATGGAGAGTAGGGAAGAAAGAATAGCAAATCAAAGCTCAGTCTGTTTCTTGGACTGGGTTCCCCTGGGCAGCCGCCGACTGATTCCCCTTATAGATTTTACCAGATGGTTTTTCTTTTTCATTTACTTAAGGTATGTTTTAAAAAAGAAAGAAAGACAGAAGCCCTACCCAGAAAGGAATTTTTTTTTTTTTTTTTTTTTTTTTTCTCATGGGAAAGAACACTCAGTTGTATTTGGGGACTGAATGAAGTTCTGCTAATGACTTCACCCTGGTAAAGCACTGAAATTCTCCCAAACATACTAATTAAGATACTTTTTGTCTTTTCTGTTGGTTTTAGCTTTGAAGATACGATAAAAATGGCATGCTGCGAAATTGAGGAGCCAAGTTTGGAGGAAATGACATGGTCTCTATTTGGCAGTTAGCCTTGAACTTGAATGACCTAGTCTAGCGAAGGTTCTCCAAACTTGTTGGATGGCCCCAGCACCTGGACTGTGCTGGGCAATCATTCAGCTGAATGGTTCCTCCTGGAGTTGTGCAGTGCACAACCTATGCAGCTGTAAGCAGTAGCCTGATATACCCCAGCAAAAATAGAAATGAACATAGACACTCAAGAAATGTATGCTTGTTTATAAATTATTTTTGTGCATATCCACTTAGATTATAGATGGATAAAACATGAGCTCTTTTCCTTGTTTTTTTTTTTTAATTTAAAAAATAAAAATGAATACTATTTTAAACAGAATTTCACCTGTGCCCCAGGGGATGGTTTTGGACACCCTTCAGGGTAGGCCACCCTAGTTTGGAGACACCAGCCTAGGAAGAATTCACATGGCCTTCTCTGTCATTCGGGCAGGGCGATGCATTTGTACGCCAAGTTTGCTTTGTGGCTACAGAGTACTTACTGGTCTAACCCCTTCCTACCAGAACCCCTGTCCTCAGCTGCTGCTTCCCATTTCAGAGTACACGGTCATTAATGAAGCCTGCCCTGGAGCTGAGTGGAATATCATGTGTCGGGAGTGCTGTGAATACGATCAGATCGAGTGTGTCTGCCCAGGAAAGAAGGAAGTAGTGGGTTACACCATCCCTTGCTGCCGGAATGAGGAGAATGAATGTGACTCCTGCCTCATTCACCCAGGTGAGTGTGGAATGGAGGCCTCAGGCTGCCTTTGTGTTTTCTGAGGGTCGTGAATGGGAAGAGGCTGATCACTTAACTTTGGGCAGGCAGATATCAGAGGCTGTGATGCCATGATACTAAAAGTGGCATAATCCTGACTGTTCTAACTTCAGGCAAAGGGAGTAGAAGAATTAGGACCCTTTTCACCGTTAACATTATAAATCTGTGAATTCATCCACTCATTCATTCATTTGACAAAAGACTCAGCAGCTCCTGTGGACCATATCAGATACTGGAAATACAATGATTTAAAAAAAAAAAAAAAAAAGACACATTCCCTGCATTCCCGGAGCTTGCAGCCTGGTGGGAGAGATGGAGAAGTAAGCAGGCAGCTGTGGTACAGTGTGGTGAGCACTGTGAGAGAGAAGCACAAGGTACCATGGAAATGTTGGGAGTGTCGGAGTCTTCCTGGAGGAGGTGATATGTGTGCTGAGGATGGAAACAGCAAACTGAACAGGGTGGAGGGGATCTGATAGAGAGATCAAGCCGTAGAGGAGAGCATGTGCTAAGGCCCTGTGGTGAGAGAAAGCTTGGGGTTTTGGGAATTGCAAGTTCCTTGGTCTGGCTGAAGGTATGTGTATGAGTGTGTGTATGTGTGTTTGTGTGTGTGTGTGTGTGATGAAAAATATGGAGAGTGATAGACAAAGAGAAAACATTATAAGAGAACAATCTTAGGAAGAGAACAGGGCCAGACCCTGAAAGGTTTGCATGTTGCACTATGACTTTAGGTTATATCCTGAAGCTATTTTAGCTACATCAGAGATCTTTGAGTGAAGACATGAAAGCTGATTTTCTCTGTGGCTGCAGTATGGAGAAAGGATTGGAGGAAGGCCAGGGCAGGAGCAGGGGAGGAATAACAGGACCTTCAGGAATGTAGAAGCCCTATGCATGGAGAGGTGTGGAAGGATTTCAGAGATACGCAGAAGAGTGGAATTGACAACAATTTGAGACTGGCCACTTGGGGAAGGGAAGAGCAGAAGTCAAACACGAGGCTCTGGCTCTGAGCTGGACATTTAGGAGGTGGTCCCAGTAATAGGAGAGCATCTGAAGGTGAGACCGGACCTTCCCAGGTCACAGCCTGCGTTCCTTTGCCTTCTTCCAAACCACCATATCTCCACCAAACAGGGGACAGCGACTGTCTTTTCTGCCTGTCTGCCTGGAGGCCCGTGTGGACACTGAGCCTCGGACTGAAGGTGTTTCCAACATGATTAGCAAGTCATGGAACAATTTCTAGGTGCTTTTCTATTTGCTGCTTGGCATATCTGACTTTTCCCAGGGGAGTCTTACATTTACCTTTTAGGCAGATCAAAAGGAGGACATAGAGAGTTTCCAACATACTTTCCCTAGGCTGAAGACCGAAAGGAGGTCAAAAGTGTATTTGGGGGAATTTCTCTCATTTCTGCCTTTCCCCTTCTTTTGCAAACACATAGGATGACGCCAGGAACTTTCTTTTGTGGGAAGCTATAGAAGTAGAAAGCAAATGGGACTCAAGTAAACAAATAATACTTTTAAACCATCTTCCTTCTTAGACGAGAGCAATGCTGAATTTGAAAATTGGAGTGACCTCAGTATAGCCCTTGTACATTTTGATTTAGAAAAGAAATCCACTGCCCGAGTTCCCTGACAGTGAGTGTGTTTTGTAGGGACATAGTGGAGGAATCCCTGCAAATTTTCTAAGGTCATTTTGAGAGCTCAACCAGGATCTCCCGACTAGGGGTCCTTGGCAGTTGTGTGGAAGTCTTTGAATAATTTTCAATATTTTCAGGAGTCTAGAAGTCACCTTTGAGGTGAGAGTGGACTCACTCTCTCGCTGGAGAGAGCTTCAGAGGTGGTGTTTGTCCTTCTTACTGTATTGTACAGACAGCAGTCCCCACCTGCCTCAACTGCACACGACAGCTTCCTGTTACATCATTCTGGAGACGCCCAACGTCACGCCCTTGAGCAGTGCTGGGAACCATCTTTGGATCTAAGTAGAGAAGAGCTAGTTATCCTGAAAGGGAAGGCTACCTAGAAGCTTCTTTTCTTTTTCTGATTTTCAAAACAGTGAGTTGATATCCTAGCAGTCCCTATTGGTGATCAGAGTGTGTGTGTGTGTGTGATTATGAACTCAGGTACTTTTACTGATGTGGTTTAATCCACTGCAATCATGATTCATTTTCATGCGTGCATCCCCCCACGTCAGGACTCCGGGGAGCCTCTTGCGTCCTGAGTTCTTCAGATAAGACCACACTAGAGTTTGAAAACTTCCCTGATTTCCTACGTGACAAGATGTTTCAGAATCTTCTCGTGTCTTTTCTGCCCCAGATCTGGAATTGGCCATTTCTCCAAGGAATTCTGGTCTGAGGCTGCACTCTGGACTCCTAACGTGTTCCTTGTTACTGGACTGTCACTGTTTTACTAGGACTACTATTTATTTATTTCAAGTGGGTGGGGCTAAGAAATGGCATTTTTAAAAAAAGAAAAAAATGAGTCAATGCTGATACTTGAGTTCAAATGTAATATTCCAAGGTTCTTTAATTAACTTTGTTGACTTTGTATATCTTTTCTGTCATGTGGAGAGCCTGTTTCCTAATAATATTAACCTGATCACTTGTTGCTTGGTTTTATAGCATAATATAACTGCACAAAATAGCAATAGCACTGATTTTGTTTGCAGTAGCACCATTAATACTAATAAGACCACTGATGGTGTTGGCTTTTATTGACCTTAGACTATATCCCACTCAATATGCATAGTCAAAATTCTATGTTTTGAAGCCAACTGATGTCGTCCTTTTGTCTGTGGTGTTACACCACCTACTTGATACATAGAAAGGTTTATTATTTCCATCTGTTTTCTATATTTGACAACATAAGCAAATATATGTTTGTGTATACATATATATATCTCTTTCCCCTTCTTGCACAAAAGATTGCCTACGAGAAACGCTGCTAACTACCTTGCTTTTTTCTCTTGACAGTATCTGCTGGATATCACTCACTGACAGTATAAAGCCATTTTTTTTCTTTTATTTTTACAGTTGCCTATAACTGCATTGTGTAGGTTGGTGTAGTTTATGAGTATTTGGGTTGTTTCCAAGCTTTTGCTATTATAAATAACACTACAGTGAGTAGTCTCATGCATACATCATTTAGTATTTTTGCAGTGTTCTTTGGGGTAGGTCCCTGGGAGAGAGACCGCTGAGTCAGAGAGAGGGGCATATGTTGTATTGCCAACCTTTGTCTTATCCGACTTGCTCTTGGCATTCACAGCAGCCGCATGTGAGGGTGCTGTTTTCCCAAAGCCTCGCAACACAAATTGTGAATTTTTGCCAACCTCAAGGGTGAGAAATGGGATTGTGGCATGGTTTTAGAATTTCTATTGTTTCTCTCATCATGGTAGCCAACTGTCTCTTTTCTGGTGGCGGTGGTTGCAGGCAGGTCAGCATCCATGCTCACAGTCACAGAGGTGTCAGTAGTGATGTCCAATGGTCTCCAGCAGAACTGGGGCCATTTCTGGACCAAGTCTGCTGTATATGTTCATGTGGTTCCAGGCTGTGTAGCTCTGAACTTGAGCCTCTGGCTTTTGTGGCAAAGCTGTGAGCTCCCGAGTGTCTTTTTGTGATAGCCTTGCTCACCTTCATCACCTGGCTGTTTTTTCTGACTTGGGACCTAAAAGCCTTGAAGTTACCGTGCTGAGAGTGGAGGTTGACAGGGCCACTGGGGGCAGACTCTGAGTCTGTTTGCCTCCTCAGTGGCGCAGTGGATAGGGAACCAAAGAGGGGCAAGGGGCACGTGGGGGAAGATGGCCTTGGGAAGAGCAGTGATGCCACTGGGACCTGCTGTGGGCCACAAGAGCTACTGGAACTGGGTGAATCATATTAGCAGCTCTTTGGTGGGAGGAAACACTGGGATGTGGAAGCCATGTCGGGTGGTGTGCAAGGCGAGGACCACGAGCCTCTGTCCTCCAGAAACTGCACAGACATATGCTGCATGTCTGCACTACGGGTCGAGGAAAACCTCATTTCAGCCAAAATCAAAGACATGTGCTCTCAGCTCAGGGAAACGCCAGTTATCTCAAACAGCTGAGAAGCCCGGATTCGCAGCTCATCCATCCAGCCACATGTCCGTCTTATTCATTCACCCAAACTGTATTTACTGAACACTGGCTATGTTGCAGATATTATATTAAGTGCTGGGGATATGCTGTTGAACAAGATGCAGTTCCTGACTTCGGACTGTCATAGGAAAACAGATAACAGGCAGTTTAGATTGCGCATGATGTATGCAATTGTGGGGATAAGACAAGTGGAGGTATGGGAGTGCGGAACAAGGAGCACAGTTCACTTCTGGGGTGTACGTACTATGTGCCAGGCCCTTTATATGTGTTAATTTAATTTTTAAAACAACCTTAAGAGGCAGGTAAAATTTTTAGCCCTTGTTTTACAGATGATGACATTGGGGCACAGAGACCTCAAGCAGTTTGCTCAAGGAAACACAGCTGAACCACGGCAGAGCCTGAACGTAGCTCTCCATTTTGATAAGTGGGATTGGATTATCTCTTTCATCACAGTCGCCCCTCCCCTCCTCCAAGAGACTGTGTTATAAAAATGACCCTTACCGGGAACCTCTCAACCCTGTCTGGTGTGACCTGCTGGTGGGGGCAGCTCGGCACCTTCCAGGGTGAGCCCATTATTAGGCATCAGGGTTGTTTCCAGTGGCATACTTTGGTTATAGAGGTATAGGACATAGAAGAATATTTAATGGAACAGGAAGATACTCTCTATTATGACCTAAAAAAATGAGCAATGAAAGCAGAATATATGATATATAGTGTAAGCGTAGTTTTTTTTTTAAATTGTTTTTTTACATACACAGAGAGAGTGTGTTACTAGAAGTTGTTCCCAGGCGATGGCCCTTTAGGTGTTCTTAATTTCATTCTATTTGCTTGCCTGAATTTTCTCAATATTCCACGAGAAGCATGTGGAGTGTCCGCCACTGACTTGGAACACGGTTCGGACCACCCTCCTAGACTTCTCGCTGTGAATTCTGGTGACTCTGGCATTTTCCTAGGTATGAGCATTTTTCCCCCACAAGGGCTCTGGCTCCTTTCCAGGCGAGGCCCTGAGAAAGTCCAGCTGCTCTCGCACGCCGCCCATCAGAACCTGCCAGTGTGTAATCCCACCCCCTTGTGCTCGCACATGTTCCAGGTTGCACCATCTTTGAAAACTGCAAGACCTGCCGGAACGGCTCATGGGGAGGCACGTTGGACGACTTCTACGTGAAGGGGATCTACTGTGCCGAGTGCCGTGCGGGCTGGTACGGAGGAGACTGCATGCGTGAGTAGACCCCAAGGCAGCCCCCTCACACCCCCACCGCCACCCCGCCCTGGTGCAGGCTGCTTTCAAGGCTCAGCTTGCAACAGACTGAGGTTTAGCTGGTTGCAATCAGAGTTCTGGAAAGCTGTGGCCAGAGGGCTTTCTAGGTAAGACTATAAAAAACAAAGATGTGTTTCCATCTGCTGGGTGTGGATTGCGGACATCTGTTCGGAACTGGCGGCAGGAGGTTTACGTCTGCTCTTAAATCTTCTCCTTTCTCCTAAATGCAGCCAAGACATTCGGCACACAGCAGGCCTCGTGTCCATTCCAGAAGCAGCTCTGTGTAAGCAGTGGTCAGCAAGCAGTGAATAAGGATTCAAATATGCTAAGTCCTGTGGTGTGTTTTCAATATGCATTTCTCTTGGTGAATTTCTGGACTCCTGAGTTCAATTCCCGGAACCCACATCAAATTGTCAGCATGCCACTTATCCCAGGAAAGGGATTCTTTCTGGGTTCTACTTCGTCTCTAAGAATTACTTAATCTTTATTAGGGTTCCCCGCTGAATTTCAATAATCCTTTGAAAATGGAGTGGAAATCTAACCTCTCAGTTTCAAACTCCCCTCCGCAGTGCCGGGCGGGTGACTATCCCTTTGAGAGTCTGGGGCTGGAGCAACAATGTACAAACTGTTGTTTTGTTAAAGCCTATGTTACATGCTCCCTATTTGAATCAAAGCAGCTGGGGTGAGCTGACAGCCTGAGCAATTTTCCTCTTATGAATGATATTCCCAGTTGGTGGAGATGGAGGATGGAATGCTATTGCTATTCTTTGCCTGATCCAACCTGCAGCAAAATGCCATGAGCATCGAGTGTCTCAGGCGAAGGTTGAGCTATGTGGTCTGCAACCAAGGACCTGAGCTCTACCTGGAGGAGAAGGGGTAGAGACTATACCCCTTTATTTTCAAATGAACCGGGGAGCCAAATTATCCAGAGTACAGATAATTTTCAGAAGTGCTGGTCTGGGTTGCAGGCCTAAAACTTCAATACCATTTTCAGTGGGTTCTGGGAAACTTAATTTAATAGTCGGTAGGTGATCTTATACATAGGTTAGCTTCCGGATTTAACCCTGGTCTTCCTTTGGCAGCTGTTCTCGGAAGGTGGCCTAACATAACAATCTAGAGTCCGGAATGATGCAGACCTGGTTTAATGATTTTGCCAGTCACTAGCGTTGTGGCCTTGGCCAAGTCATTTAACCTTGTTCAGCTTCATTTCCTTTTCTTTACAGTGGGTGTAACACTACCTCCTAGGGTTGTTTCAAGAATTTGGTGAGATAATTCATGGGAAGTGCTTAATGCTTTGTCTGGCACATAGTAAAGCCTTAACAAATGCAGTAAATATGTCATTTTGTTCTGTATACTCCTTAATTGCCAAGCTGGTGGGTGGTCCAGAAATAAAACTACTTTCAATGAAAGTTTAAGAAAGACATAATTAGAGATACAATGCACGGCTTTAGATTTCACACTGACCTTTGCGGTATCAGAGAACTTTGGGGTTTTCTCCCCTTTGGATGTGAGAAGTCGCTCTTTTCTTGTGTGAGTAAATGGTGTGGCGGGGGGTGGTATGTGATGGGAGGAGCCATCTGCCGACTTCAGCTCACCCATGACCTTAGAGGAAGGACGAGTCAGTAAAGAGCTGAGATGTTGTTCTAAGTACCACTGGGAAGCCAAGGAAAACTCTGGACTAGGGAATGGCCGAGGGCTCTGAGAACATAGGTAAGAAAACAGCTAATCCCAGGGAGTCAGGGACAGGAGAGGATTCAGAAGGGGGTGATGGTGGAGCTATGCCTTTGCTCGTCAGTGGGTAAGACAGGAAGGTGCTGAAGTCTGTGTGATTCGAGACCCCTTGTTCTTAACCACAGTAGCATCCTGCCTCCACTGGTGGGGGCCCTCCCACAGCTCTGTTTTCATTGAAAAGTGGGAAGCAAAATCTTTGCTGAGGGTGAAGCGGATTTATGGTTGCAGCTTGAGAGTATCATAGGTTTGGGACAGCCACAGGAGGACCCAGGAGAGGCACTGGCTCATGATAAATTAAAGCTTGTCCAAGCAAGACTGAGGACCCCCGTGGAGGCTGGATTTCCACAGAGGTGATGCCATCCCGACAGGCTGTCTAGCAGCATGGGAGCGGAGGTGAACAAAACCAGTCATGCAGTGGCTCCGGGAGTTGGCTGAGACGTGGTTGTCCCGATTGGGACAGACATGAAACCAGAAAGAGCCTGGAGAAGGGATAGGATGAGCAGTGTCAGTGGGTTGGAAAAGCAGGCACAGTGGTAATAAAGGAGTCGAGCACGGAGGCAGGAGGGGTGTTGTCGTCATAGAACAGAATTTCCAAGTGGATGCTTTTGGGAGTAGTGGTGATAATGTGTTCATTTATATTCGTCGCTTTTCTTCCGTGTAACAAACCCATCTCAAAAGGATAAATGTTTGTTTTCCTTTTTCATGGGTCCGTGGCTTGGCTGGGGTCCAGCCGATTTCAGCTGGGTGGGCCTGGGTTACACACCAGCTTCCGGGCTCAGCCCAAAGGAGAGCAGCTACTTGGGACATGTTCTTCTCAGGGTGGGTTGCAAAAACATTAGGGGCCGAGCCAAACACACAGGTACATTCAGGGCCTCTACTTGCATCATACCCATGAACTTTCCAGAAAGAAGTCACATGGCCAAGCCCCAGATCAGTCAGGTAGGGAAGTAGACACCATCCCAAGGAAGAGGGGTACAAATATTTCCTAAACAGTACTCCGGTTGCTCTGTATAAATAAATGAGTCTGTTTAGGGGACAGGGCAAGGAAGGGGAAGGATATTTGCCTATAGAAGACTGCTAAAGCAAGCAGTAACAAGACGGAGGATAGCAGGAGCCTTTCCCAATAACACCCATTGGTTGAGTCTTGGGTTTGGCCTCCGTGTAAAAGCTGGCTGCATATGGAGTCTGACTGGTTGGATAGTGGTGGTGTCCATATGTAAATTCAGGGCTTTCTTGAGGCTGCAAAACTGGCTCAGGCAACTAGGAAAGAGGAGAGAGAGCATGATTCCTTTTTCTATCCATCCATTCAAAACACATTGCCTGAACGGATGCTCCTAGTGCTGGGCGTACAGTGAAGGGCAAGGCGGACATGGTTCCTGCCATTCTGGAGCTTGTGATTTAGAGAGGAGAGACCAATAAATAAATAAATAAATAAATAAATAAAAATAAAAAAGAACTGGAATGTGGTCACTGCTATGAGACAAACAGGGTAATGGTCAGATTCCTGTCTCATTCCGCGACGGTTCCCATACGCTTGTTAAATTTCATTATGTTTGTTCTGAAAGACTCTTTGCACACACTGGGTGTTATTTGATCCCTGCCATAAGCATTTATGATGCATTTCTTATGGGCTGGCCACCAGAGAGAACCGTGAGCCCTCACCGAGTTCACAGTCCATTATGGAAACAGGGCTTGACCGTTCGAAGACATCAATATGATGGTATTAGGTTCTTATCACCAGCACCTCATATTGGCATTAAATAAATGTGATGGGAATTCAAAGGAGGAAGTAATTCATTTCAACCATTTGCTGAACGCCTGCCTGGGGCTGGGCATGCACTGCCTGCTTCTACTAGGAGGGAGCTGAACCCGGGGAGGCCTGTTCCTGGGCTGGCGCAGTGCAAGCATTTACCCAGTAGATGGCACCCAAGTGATCCTTTCAGGCTCTTCAATCCTGAAGGACGGCTTCCTGCGGAGCAGCCTCTGTAGAGTTCTGGCATTTTTTCTGGAGTGCCATATAGACCCTGGGAATGAGAAGTGACAGGCAAACGCCAGAAAGGATCAGACTATTGTATATTTAATTATAGGACATGCGGAAGAGAGCCAGTGTTAGAGCACCTTTATCTGCTTGCTGTCCTTGACAATTTTTGTGATAATTAGCATTAGCCTAACTTATGACAGTCTTAGAACCCCGTATGTGACGGGGTCACTTATAACTGATGACAGGTCATATTAACAAAGAGAAGAGGAGAAGGGCCCAAGGTCCCTGAGCCCAGGAGAGGACTTTACTCACGTCCTCTTGCCCAGGAAAGACTGGTTTGGTAAACTCAGAGTATTCTGGCTACGGAAAGGAGCTAATTCTTTCTTCCTTCCCCCAACTTTTTATTTTGACAAATTTTATACTTACAAAGAGCTGAAAAAGTAGCGCGTTCATACCCTTCACCTGCATCCACCATTAATCACTTTCTCACATCTGACTTTCTCTCTCTTTTATGGCATTATGAACTCATGAATTTACATTTTTTCCCGCATTTTGTAATGTGATCATCATTTTTCTTTTTGATGCTCGAATGGTCCCAGAATTGGCCAGTGAAGATCCTTCAAGCCAGCTCCACAGCGTGGTCGTTCTTGAGGCAATTGCTTGCTTTCCCTCTGCTCTCCTCTCCCCGCAAGATGTTTCAAGTTCACGTTGATGGTTTATGTCTGGGTCATAGAACCCGCCATTTCTCTACGAATCCTGGTTCCTTTTGTGCGGAATGGTATTTAGGAAGTGGGATCTGGACGCTGGTTATGAGAGGCACTGATATTTAAAGTCAAAATCAAGGCTTCCTCTCAAAGCTTCATAAATGGAAAATTAACGTCTTAAGGGGAACCAGTCCATTGAGCTTTAGAGTGGAGCTTTTTCAACGTGGGCCTCGGCCGAGTGTTTCAGCCACCGAATGAGACAAGCAACGAGAGGGCCTAAGCGCTACCCAGGATAACACACTTCTAGCTCACACTGCAGTGACCCAGACTTTCAGGATATGGAGAATTTAAGGGATGGAAGGTTAGCCAGTCAACCCAGACGACAGAGTATTTATGGGGAGAGATTATAGACCCTTAATACATTTTATGTTCTTAGCCATATTTTGGATAGAGCAGAGGGGCTGGCCATGAGCCATGCCTAAAGATGTGGGGCTAGAATATCAGAGAGGGAGATGATTTGTGTAGGCTGGTCCTTGAGCCATAAT